TAAAATAGTTTTTATGATGCATTTTTTTAGTTCAGTTATTTAAGAACGTTTATTTTAAAATTTAAGTCATACATTTATCTTTTAAACACTTTGTTGAACTGCAAACAATAAGTTTTAGAATTTTGAAAGGCTTTGTATAGCACCACTCACATCGCCCAATTATTGGCCGTATAATGTACCAATTTGTAGCCATTACAATTTTTCAATATTACCTATATGTTATTTGTTTGTTTTTATTTTTTATTGTAAACTTAGTTATTTTTTGTGCTAATACAAACATAATATTAAGAAATTTATTTAATTTACTCACTTAGTTATTCAAATACCTATTTCTTTCATTTGTAAGGTAAAACAAGACTGTTACAAAACAATATAATAATAACAATATCTCTGAAAAACTCAGACTATTAAAGAAGCAAAGTATTTTAACCTAAGTACTAAGCTTACTTAAGGTAATTATGCTCTGTTCTTTAATGATTTAAATTATTATTGTTATTATTATTATCATATATATATATATATATATATATATATATATATATATATATATATATATATATATATATATATATATATATATATATATATATATATATATATATATATATATATATATATATATCACGGCTGTTTCACTCAATATAAAAGCGAGCCTGACGTCACGAGTTTATCAAAAAAAAAAGTATTTCCGCATAAAAAGTATAAAAATTCATTAACTTTAAAATAATAGTATTTTTTTTCTAAAAATGCTTTCATCTTCAAATAAAAAAAATATAAAAGATCTATCTTTCCTTGTTAAATAAACATTTACATTAAACGGAATAAAAATGAAAGCTGTAAAAATATTGTTAATAATTTGGCATCACTTTTCTGATTTTTGCGATTTTTACGCAAAACCTGTCTTAGGCCAACTAAGATTTGATAACATAGCTACATGGTCGATGGTTGAAATTTAGAACAGTTATTAATGAATGTCTGTTCTATCTAGATTTCCACAGACTTTGCAAGTTTTTATATAGAAAGTTAGTTTTTAATGCATTTATATTTTTGTTTTTATTCGTTTTGAATAAAAAACATAACATTTTTGAAAAGTCTGTGGATTTAGTAATACTTCAACCTTATATGAATAAGAAAATCAAAAAATTATTTTCTGTACCTCTAGCTATGTTATCAAATATGTTTTCAAACTTGGCATGTTTAGCGACATTTTTTTTAGTTTTTTTTGCATAAATTCTTGTTTACATTTTAAAGCGGTGACGCAAACTCTGATCGTTACGTCCCCAACGATTATCGGATGCATTTTAAGAAAACAAACAAAACAAACGAGACACATTTTATAGAATAAATAACAAAGTTTCGCGGATTAATTTCTCTTGGATATTTGACTAATTTCAGATAAGTTGATTAATCCGATTTTATCTAGTGCATCTATTTGTCAATATTATTCTATTTAAGTTGTTTGTATTATAATTTTATTACTATATCAATAAAGATTATAAAGCAAAGTTTCGTGGATTATTTCCTCGTGGATATTCGACTAATCTCAGATAAGTTGCTTAATTCTTTTATTTTTAGTGTATTTATTTGTAAATATTATTTTATTTTATTTCTTTTATTATATTATTATTATAATATCATTATCATTATTTATGTGATGTATGCAACTGAGAGGGAAATTTTGAAACTGTACATCGGTTGGGAAGATGGTTGGGAAAATGAAAATAACTTTAATTTTGTAAAGCGAGTAATTGAAACTAGTAAGATCACTAACAATGTGATTTCAATTTTATTAACAGTTTTTCATCCAAAAGCGTTGTTTACTTTTTTAAGTTTTCTTTTGCCAATTGAGTTTAATATGCCTAATATTGATGTGTTAAATAAAATGTGCCGAAAAATAAAACAAAGAAAAAAAGATTCTAAAAAGTATTTTGAAGCTTCAAAAAACAAAGCATTTTTTAAAATGCAACTGTCTCCAGCTCCACAAACAAAAAAACAAAAAAAATCAGCAGATGCAGATAATTTTTATATTTTAAATAGGAATAAGGAACTAAGTAGTCAAGTTGAACAATTAATTTCTAAAGAAAAAAATAATGTGGAGCAAATAGATAATTTAAAAATACAGGTATCAAAGTTGGAAACTGAAGTTATATATTTAAATTCTAAAAACAAGGCTCTCAACGCACATTGTAACTCATTAAGTTCTCAATTAGAGACTATGAGTATTAGGCTAAAACAGGAGGAGCAGTTCCAACTTTAAAAAAAAAAAAAATTAAAAACAGCACACCGTAAATTTGCATCTGCTCGTGCCAAAAATGTAAGATTGCTAAAAAAATTTAAATTTGAAAAAAAAAATGCAAAAATCAGTGATATAAACAAGAACAGTTGCCAAATTTGCAAATATTTTGCTAGCAGTGATAAGGATTTAGTTGTCGTTGATTCTTATTTAGACTATGACAACATTGGTTCCTCTGAATTATTCTGTGGGTTTAAATTAAGTAATCCACAGACTATATCAGTTAAAAAGCCAATAGTTATAATATCTTATTCTAAGTTAGGTAGGCATGCTGCAGCTAGACGATCTAAACTTGCTTTTATATTCCTTTGATTATTAGCTTGTTCAGATTTGGAAAGTGATTTGTCTATGTTGTTTTGTGATTCTGTGTCTTGTGAAAAGTCTATGTTTCATTGTGTTGCAAATAAGTTGGGTTTAGTTAGGCAGTTAAGTGTTTCTGATGCTGTAGAGCTGCAGAGCCAATTAAGGATGCCCACGGCTGAATTCCGTAGGCTAAGACGTATTCTGTGTAATCTTGGTGCAAGGATTCTCCCATCTGAGCCCAAGATAAGACAAGAACAAGAAATGCGGACAATGCATGTTAGTAAAGAACATGTTACTGTAAAGTCCATGTTGCTTTATCCATCTGCGAATGAAGCACCTTGTTTAGTACCTGTATTGATGGTCAAGAATTTGATAACTTATATTGAAGAGGTTTTCAATAGTCTGCACGTTCGTGATCACTTCAATTCTGATGTCGATTTTTGCAAAGAGGTATGGCTCCTTTTTGCTGGGGATAAGGGTGGGAAGTATATGAAATTCCATTTTGAAGTTGTCAATTCTAAATCATCAGGGTCTGTATATGATGTTCATTTATTTTGTATGTATCAGGGTTCAGACTGTCGTGAGAATATTGCCTTAGTTCTCGGGCATTATGCCAACGACATTAAAAGAATTCAGTCGTCAGATTTTAAGCTAAAAGGCAAAATAGTCAGGTTGTTCTTAGGTGGAGATTTTCATTTTATCGATGATGTTCTGGGACACCAGGGTTCAGCTGCTAGCTTTCCTAGTTCTACAGACCTAGTTAAGTTGAATTCTCTAAGAAACCATGCTTCTATGCCTCACACACCTGCTAATTGTAACATCTTAAGGAGGACAATACAATCTATGGAAAGTGCTTACAATGAGAACTTGTGTGAAGATAGACAAGGTGGAAACCTAAGAGCTCTAGGTAAGTTTCATAATTCAATTATTGCTCCTGTGATTTTCCCCATAATAACTTTAGATAATGTAGTGCCACCTGTTTTGCATATTATGTTAGGAGTTGTGTTAAAACTTTATAAGTTATTGTTGAAGGAGTGTAAGACTTTGGATTGTCAAGCTGTTTCGTCTTTGTTGCATAATGAGAATGTGAGAACGAATGAATTGTGGGCTGCTAAAAGCTTTGAATGTTCTAAAACAGCAGACTCTTTACGTTTATTAGGAAATCAATTTGTAGACGTTGCAAATCTACAGACTTGTTGGTTAGCTTTTGATAAAAATATTTCTGAATTGGAATGCATATCTCTAAACTCCTCCAATAAAAAAACAACCTGTAAACAGCAAGAAAAGTGTGCTAGTATCAGGTGTTTAATTACTAAATATGATTGTAACATTGATTGGGTGCAGTGTGGCACGTGCCAAAAATTGTTCCATCAATTTTGTGAAATTATTGGTGGTTCGGAAAAGAATGTATTGTGTGATATAGAGAAGTATGAGTGTTTAGCATGTCAGGGTGAAGATTTAGAATGTCTTGACCTTTATGTTTCTGAAAAAATTTCTTTTATACCCGCACAGCGCGAAGTTTTAGACGTTGAGTATATTCGATTGCAGATAAAGTGTGAAGACCTAGAAAAAATATCTATAAGTAGCATGGGGACTCATGAGAGGTCTCTTTATAAGTCCCTTGAAGATATGAAAGTTGAGCGACAAGCTTACCATGGTAATGTATTTGTAGGTAATCATTGTAAAATAGTATTAAGAAACCACTATAAACTTTGTAGTGTTATTGATGATGAAGCAATTAAAAATAGATTTGTACGTGTGTTTAGTGTTTTTAATAACTTGCAACCTATTCTTTTTAAGCGAAAATTTCTTTCTGATGCTGAAATTTCTGAGCTTCATCAATATATAAATTTATTTGCTATTGAGTTTCATGCTTGCTTTCCAAAAGAAAGTATCACGCGAAAAATGCATGAACTCATTTTCAATGTGCCACTATTTGTAAAATTGCATAAAACTATTGGGTTGCTGAGTGAAGAGGAGGGAGAGTGTTTGCATAATAGCGTAAATAAGGAATTAAGGCAGTTGCATTCAGTTAGAAATCAGGAGCAAAAGCTGCATCTTGTTTTAAAACGTTTTGAATTGCACAGCAAAGCTGATAGGAAGCTTCAAGCCTCTAAGGTGAGAAAGTGTGTTGTGTGTTCAGAGCGTGGCGAAAATTCATTTTATAGACAAGGTCTTTGTCTTGTTTGTGGTCATCAAATTTAGTTTAAATGTTTGAAAAGTTAAAAAAAAAAATTAAACTTTTTACATCTAAGATAAATTATATAAGATCCTTAATTTACAAATAAGAGAATTCTATTCTGTTTTAATGCCTGTAATGTTTGTTCAAAATAATAATAATTTTTTATTACAATGATTTTATATATTAGGTAGATGCCCATTCTGTTCCTATTTTCAAAAGTTTATTATATCTATGCAATGCCTTTGCTCAGGTTAAAGAATGGAATAAAAGTCTAGCATCAAATGTATAGCTAACTATTTTAATTTGTGATCAGAGCAACTGGTATGTTTGTTGGATATGATTTTGTATGTTTATGTAGTTAATTCAAAAAACGTTTTATCCTTTGTTATGTAATATGTAACATTTTTTATATATATTAGATCTCCGTTCAATTTTTATCATCAAAAGTTAGCTCTACCTTCGCAGGACCTCTGCTCTACATACCTCCTCTCTGGTTAAAGAATGGAATATAAGTCTCATTTATCAAGTTGGTGTAAAAATTTAGCTTGATAAATTAAGAAGTTGTAAACTTTATTATCACAATTGCCAAGTTGACCAAATGTTCTTCTGGTTTTAAATGAATTATGTATGAATCTAGTATCAACTGGGTGTTCAAAGATAGTTTACTGCTTGAAGAACTTATCAATGGACCAACTAATTATAAAACAGTTTTTAATAAAAATAAAAACGAATTATCAAAAGATTTAAATCAGCTATTTGTGTATATTTAAACACTTAATTTTTTGTGAGAAGAGATTGTTGATACAAGTACCATAAAATAATTCTACTACCAAAAGCTAGGTTAATTCAAAACCTTTAACTCAATTTTGGTCATGAATTATTTTATTAGAATTGATGAGTTTTTATTTATTAACTACCTAACACCATATTATTAGAACTTTATTTTGTAATGTAATGATTTTATCAGCGTTCCAAAATAATTTTCTAAATCAAGAACTTCTATATTAAAAAAAAGTACTCATTTAACAACTAATCGCCCCTTATAACGACGTTTTTCATAATTTTGCGAAAAATGTGGTTTGCTTTCACAATTCGATTAAGGCTGTTTTAGTTAACCTTAAATAATTAAGTAAGGTTTTTTTGTTTTCATTATTGTCAAACAATAAGTGTATTTGATAATAACTATTAGGAATATATTTTTCTAATTTTTTTTTGATAAAAAGTAACATCAAATTACAAAAATTTAGCCAAATTCAATATATGTCATATTTATTCTAAACTAAAAGAAGTTTTTCTACTAATGCATTAAATGTCATAAGGTAAAACATTTTATTGATGTCTTAATTGTTTTTACAAAACAAAATTACCTCTTATATTTCAAAAGTTATAAAAGTTTTAGTAACACCCCTTTAGTCAATATTTTCAAAAATTAACAAGAAGCCGTTAAGCTCGGTTTGAAACAGCCGTGATATATATATATATACATATATACATATACATATTTATATATATATATATATATATATATAAATATGTATATATATATACATATACATATATATATATATATATATATATATATATATATATATATATATATATATATATACATATATATATATATATATATATATATATATATATATATATATATATATATATATATATATATATATATATATATATATATATATATATATATATATATATATATATATATATATATATATATATATATATATATATATATATATATATATATTATATATAATATTCTTATATTTAATTCGATTAATGTATACATATTCTTCAATAGTCGAATTTGTTTTGGTATATTTTTTTTTAGCAATAACAAAATTATGAAGAAAATTAAACGTTTTCAATGGTCAAAAACTAACATGCAAAATGCCATTAATGCAGTTAAAAGTAGTTCATTATCACAAAGATCAGCAGCTTTTGAATATAAAATTCCCAGAGCAACACTAGGAAAATATCTTCGAGGAGACTCCTTAATTGGAGTTAAACCTGGACCTCCACCAAAATTACCAAATCATATAGAAAAAAAGTTAGTTGATTATGCCACATCTAGAGCAAATCGCGGTATTGGGTTTGGGAAAAGACAATTTATGAAATATGTCTCACAGCTTAGTAAGAAACACCAGATAAATTTTAAACATGATACCCCATCAGAAAAATGGTGGCGGTTATTTAAACAACGACATAAGACTATGGTTTTAAGAAAACCTGAAGGAACATCATCTGTTCGACATCAATGCATGTCAGTCCAAAAAGTTTCTAAATATTTTTTAGCACTTCAACAAGTTTTTAATAAGTTGGGTACTCATGTTATGCCTTCTTCAATTTGGAATATGGATGAGACTGGACTTCAATTAGACTTTAAACCACCCAAAATTGTTGCAGCACGGGGTGCCAAACATCTTCAGTCTCGTACTTCAGGAAAAAGGGAAACCATCACTGTAATTGCTGCTGTGAATGCAGCTGGTAAAACTATACCTCCACATCTAATACCAAAAGGTAAAACAATAAAATCACTTCAAGCTTTTAATACAAGTGATGCACCAGTTGGTTCAAAATGGAGTGTTAGTGAGACTGGATGGACAAAACAAGGAATAGCATACCTTTGGTTTACAAATACATTTTTGCCAAACATTGGAACTAACAGGCCCCAGGTATTAATAGTTGATGGTCATGATTCTCACAATTCAGTTGAGTTATTATCTGTTGCTATTGACAACAACATTGAAATTGTTGAGATGCCAGCACATTGTTCTCACTGGTTGCAGCCATTAGATCGTACTGTATTTGGTCCCTTGAAGACTTACTACAATACTTGTTGTCATGATTTAATGAATACATACTCTGTTACAATCAATAAGTCTAACTTCTGTGGATTGTTCAAGAAAGCTTGGGATCAAGCATTAACTGCCACTAACATTATTTCTGGTTTTCAATCATGTGGTATCTTTCCCTATAATCCTTCTGCAATTCCATATGAGGCCTACTTGCCCAATTCACTTTACTCTGACCAGTTATTAGGGAATGAGAATTTGCTTAAATCAAGTTTTGATTCCTTCAAAAATGATACCATAAATTATCAATCTGGAATATCACTAAACAATGCTTTTGAAAAACAGGTGGATCCTAATTCAAATTGTACTTTTATTAATGATGTTGATACAACTGAAACTATAGGCATCTTGACTGGATCAGATATTCTGAATGTAGATTTAGCTCAGCTGGATAATGACACAGCATTAATGTTATGGAATAGTTGTTTAACTCCAGAGCATCTGACTGCTTTTAATTTCTGTTATCAAAATGGTTTTGATATTTCTGACAATTTGTATTTAGCATACAAAGACTTTCGTATAAACCAGAATGCAATCAGTGATGTTTCTTTTGATCTCTCATTAAGAGAAGCTGCTGAAACAATTGCTTTATCAGAAGAAACTGATATTCACTTTGTCTCTATACCAAATACTAGTGTTGATTATTCTAGTCCAATATCTGTTAAAACAGATTCACTGAAAAGTACCATTGACAATGATCATGATGTTATCTCTTACCCAAATTTTTATGTCAATAAGTCAAAAAACAATAGAAATACTAAACAAAAGTATTTTGTTCTAACTTCTCCTGAAGCTATGCAAGCCAAGTTAAATGATCTAAAAAAGAAAGAGGAAAAAGTTGAGGCTGCAAAAATAAAAAAATTGAAGCAACTTGATGCAAAAGAAAAGAGATTAAAACTGCAACAGGACAGAGAATTAAAAAGGCAACTGAAACATATTGATTTTGTTATTAATAAGTGAACAAGTTAATATTTTTTATCAAATTTTGTTAGTACTTTTTGATGTATTTCTTGAGTTTTGATTGTTAAAATTTCTTTGAATCAATATACAGTTTTACAAATAATTTATTTTGGCCATTGTTGAAGGGGTACTTATGTCTAAGCTAGTTTTTATTGAGTAATTATAACGTTTAAAAAATTTTAAAAATTTGATGTGTAGCAGTTAATAATCAATATTTAACTAGTTTATATTGATTATTTACATTTTAAAGCCTTTTTTTTTTATTCATTATAAATCTTATTAAAATTAAATTATTTTCACAACATTTTAACCTGTGGCAAAGTTAGTAGAATCTAATATTTCAATAAAAAGTGAACTGGCTCATAATTAGTCAACCCGGCCATTAATTGGTGTTTATTCAAATTTTTAATTCAAATGAATTGTTTACATTGTTGTTTTTTTATATTTTGGTAACAATTACTCAAAATAAATTAAAAGAATGTCTATTATTAAGTATAGCAAAAAAAAATTTAAATCTGACAATATTACTGTGTTCAGAGTGCCTTTAAAAAAAGATGTGGCCATTAATTGGTCAGTTTGCCCTATGTAAAGACATTTATTAAAAAAAAGAATTTACTTTAAAAATAATTGTTGTAACTTTTCATCGCGATATATCTTTCCTTATAGCAATTAATTTGACGCTAAACTTTTTATCCAAATATTTAGCAACATGAAAAATTGTTTGTCAATTCCTAACTAGAAGTTTTTTGCAATGTTTTTAATAAAAAGTATTAATTTTTTAAAGTTTCAGTAAAAAACTTTAAAAAAATCTATATTCCATATTTATTAATACAGAACATAAATGTTTTTTGTAATATAGATTTTTTAAGAATTTTTTACTGAATTTATAATAAAAAACATTTGCAAAAAAATTTGTAATTAAGAATTGACATTTTTTTAAATATCTCAAAAAATGTCATAATATCTTTGTTATCATGATAACAAAAATATCAAGACATTTTTTCGAGATATTAAAAAAAATGTCTTTGTTTTTCTTATTAGTTAAAGGTATATAGATGCCTTTACCTTTAAGTTATGCGGGGGAGGGGGTCAAACAGAAAAAAAAAATTTTCAAACAGAAAAAAAAAATTACCTGTTACTCGCAATATTTGAATGAAAACAATTTGTAAAATTTCTTCTGCGTGCGATTCAAAAAGTTTTTTTTTTTTCATAAATCAAGTTATATTATTAGGTAAAGAAATCATGAGTAGACTACATCATCTGCTGATGACACTAATATTACACTAATTATTGAATGTATTTATATTCGGAGGTTTTATTATGCACGCGCACATTACAGGTTCCGTTAAATAAATACTAAGGCACGTTTTAGTTTAATGACAGTCTCCATTTTTTACTAATGAATATGTATTTTTCTTTACAAAACAAAACAAACTAGTATATAAAAACCTTGTATATTTCTATTATCTCTAAATTAAAAACTTTTAAATCTTGTGACTTTGCCGATGCTTTGCCGATGCGATGATCACAGAAAAAGAAAAGACTTACGTTATTAAAATCAAATGTAAGTTGTGTAAGTAATGTAATGTGTAAAATGTAAGTAATGTGATCTTCATCAAAATAAAATATTATCCAAAAACAATGGTGCTGTAACGGCAACTGCCCAACGGTTTATAAATAACACAAGTCATGTTAAAATATTTTAACATGCTACTATATTTTAATTAAGTTGATATATAATTAAAAATAAAAATATAGTTCAATAAATAAATTAAATTTGTTCTTAACAAAGATTACATATTTATTCTTTATTTATTTTATTTAGTTTGTTAAATTGCTTACAAACGAAAAAAAAAAGAGTTTTGTAATTATACGTAGAATGAAAATACTTTTGAGTTTGTTTATAAGTTAAGGAACTTAATTTTTAATAAACAAATTTTTAAGAACGTTTAATTATAAACAGATACGATTCAAATTATTAAACATACTTAAATTATTTCAGTTGAGTATTTTTTTAAGTTTGCACGATTAAAGTTTTGCGTAGAAGTATTTGTTTTTTTGTTTTAAGATTAATTAACAAAAGAGTTTGCATAATTAAGACTTTTATATTTAATTTAATTTTTTTTTTTAATTTCCTAAAATTTAAAAAAAAAAGATTTAATCGTTAAAAGCGATTTTTCTCTATAGCTCTGTTTCTTTGTGATTTGTTTAAAAAGTAAAATATTTTTACAATAACATAAAAAATTTAAGAATTAAATTTTTTATGTTATTGTTTTAGCGAACGCGTTCTAAACTATGTATCAAAAATATGCTCAAAGCAGACAAAACTTTTTTATATTTTTATAAAACGCAAGTTGAAACGCTAAGCAAGATAAATTTAAAAAATACTTAAAAACCTAAACTTTATCTTTGCTAGTCAAAACAAAATCGTTGTTTAAATAATTAACACGGGTTTGTGTTTATCAATGTTAATATTTTTTGTTTACTCTAGAAATTTTTAAAAATAAAAAAAATCATTATTATTTTTTATTCAATTTGATTAAAAACAATTATTCAAAAACAAATTTCATAAATAATTAATATATACAGGGGCGTGTACAGGAAATTTTTTGGGTAAGTCCAAAAAAAAAAAATGTCCGCCTCTGCCTCCCTATTTTTTTAGAGAGGGGAGGGGGACCGGATTTTGACCGGACTGAGTGTATTTTATAAAAATGTTTTTGTTCTTTAAATGACTTGTGACATTGATAAAATGGTCACTAAAGCTCAAAATATGATATTTGCAAACTAAAAAAACTATTTTTTGAAAATACTCAGTTGTCGTAATCTATAATATATACAAATGAAAATTTTTTACAAGATTTGTAAAAACAATTTATTTAATACAAGATTTTGCTGTGTAAATTTTTTTATATAACTTTATAAATAATATTTAATTATAAATAAACTTTATAAATACTTAAAGTCAAAAAACTTATTGCAATAACTGTACAATGCTAAATGTTTTTACAAAGATGTCAGCTATGAAAATAGCTGTTTACCAAAAAGCAGCTCAAACATTTGAAGTTATACTTTTATCGTATTTGAATTTTATTTAAAACACAACTCATAAGTATTTATAAAGGTTTGTTGCTTGTAATGTTTCAGTATTATTAGGTTTGAAGTTCATTTTTGAAATTCAGGCAGTTAAGTGAAATTCATCTAAACTTCCCACAGATCAAATTTAAGTATAAAGCCTTTGGTTTGGAAATAATAAATAAACCTAATAAAGCCTTTGGTTAAACAAAAGACACTAAAACATATGATTTGGTCTTGCCAACTAGTATAACAAAACATTGAACTTCTGCAATTGTTTTTAGAAGAAATTGAATATTAGAAAGAAATTAAAACACAGGTGCTTTTAACACTTCAAAATTGTATCAATCAAACATTGTGTTAAACTCAGTAATCTATATAAAACTCAGATAGTCTAGCAAGAAACAGCGGTATCCAAGTTAAAATAATTTGAAATGCAATTTTTTGGCTTGTTTAAAGCATATTTGAAGGTGTTGATTAATAATATTTCTAACTATAAAGACAAAAACTTTTGATGCTTCAATAAGATTTAAACTATAAAAATTATCATTATTACTTGCTTGCAAAATTGTGTAATTAAAAAAGTTATTTTAAAAACATGTCTTGTTATACACAGTGCATTAATAAAATCAAAATTTGTTTTTAACTTCAGTTGAAGCAGTAGCAGGGGCTGCACCATTATTGACATTCTTTGAGACAAAAAACCACAGGTATAAAAAACTTTCGTAAAGTATCCATGCCACAATTTCACATTTCATAACACCCAAAGAAAAATCAGTAATAGCTTTTATTAAAATACTAAGTAAACAAGTTTTTCTTTTATGCAGTTCATCATAGTTCCTATTACGATTATCATGATTCTCATAAAGGATAAACAATATGGCTATACTTAATAAGTCTAAAATCTTCTTCTTGATTATTAAAGAAAACCAAATACCAGTTTTTATCGATGCGCATCGAAAAGTTTTGATATCACTTTTGATATAACTCTCTGTCTTCCTTTCTTGAATCAAAAGGATATCGTGATATCAAAAGTTCTACACTAATATAATATTTGTTCGCCTAACTTTATAGGAAATAATGCTTTTCTTTAACATACTAACTTTTTTAAAAAAATGCTATATTAGCTTGCGAATTAAGCTACATTTTGAAGTAATCATCGGCCATGTTATATATTTAATAAAATTAATTTAATTTAATAAAAAACAAATTAAGCAGGGTATATGGCAAAGGGGAAGTCCGAAATTTGTTTTCCACATTTGAAACCTTTTTTATCCTTATTTATTACTTCAAATCCAAGTTATTAAAATGATACACATTCTAGTGTAATAAAACAGGGGATGTCAATTGATATATTTTGATATATACTAGTTGTTACAAACTAATTTTACCTCCTGATCATAGTTAAACAATAAAACTTGACAAAAATTTTACTCAGGGTGTTTGTCAAAAGGGAAGTCCAAAATTTATTTTTTACAATTGAAACCGTTTTTCTCCTTATTCATTACTTCAAATGCAAGTTATTAAAATAATACACAGTCTAGTGTAATAAAACTGGGGATGTCCATTGATATATTTTAATATATACTTGTTGTTTTTAACTAATTTTACCTCTTGGTGATAGTTAAACAATAAAACTTGATAAAAATTCTACTCAGGGTGTATGTCAAAAGGAAAGTCCAAAGTTTGTTTTAACTAAAATAATTATTTTAATTTTTTTTAAACCAATGAAAAAAAAAAATAAAAAGATAAAGTTCTATATAACAAAATAAAATAAGGTATTTCAATTCAAGTTTCTAATTAAGTTATTTAACTCAAAAGTTAGTTTAACCTCCATCAAAATATTGTAATTAATATTTTTTAACAATCGCAAAATTATGAAACCGAGTTAATATTTTCCGGTTTTTAATATTTTGGAATTTGAACCGTTTTCCGGTTTTTAATTTTTTTCCAACTGTTTCAGATAATTAACCGTGCATAATTTGTTTAGTTTTAGCTGTAGTTTGGTTTTAATAGTTACATATAGTAAGATTTTTTTCAACAATATAATCAAGTTAAAAAACTTTTATTTAATTTTTTTGGGTACGTCCAACGACGTAGCAGACATCCCCTAGACACGCCCCTGATATATATATATATATATATATATATATATATATATATATATATATATATATATATATATATATATATATGTATATATATATATATATATATATATATATATATATATATATATATATATATCATCCCCTAGACACGCCCCTGATATATATATATATATATATATATATATATATATATATATATATATATATATATATATATATATATATATATATACATATATATATATATATATATATATATATATATATATATATATATATATATATATATATATATATATATATATATATATATATATATATATATATATATATACATAGGCGCCCGCAAGAGAGGGGGGGGGCAAGAGGGGGCACTTGTCCCTCCCTCCCTGTATTTTCTAAATATAGAAAAAAATTTTCTTGTTTGTAGTGTTCTTCATGCCATAAAGTTTGTTACTAATATACAAGTTTAAATTGTCTTCTTTTTTCCACGGACATATAATTTTTTTCTTCTCTTTATTTTATATCTTACATATATATATATATATATATATATATATATATATATATATATATATATATATATATATATATATATATATATATATATATATATATATATATATATATATATATATATATATATATATATATATATATATATATATATATATATATATATATATATATATATATATATATATATATATATATATATATATATATATATATATATATATATATATGTATATATATATATATATATATTTTACTAAATAATATTGATCTAAAATTAATAATAAAATAACAATTGAAAACATTACAAAATTTTCATAATAAATTTACATTTAAAACTTTTATAGTTATTTGAGTTAATTTTTAAATTTAACTAGTTTGCGGTTATTTATTTATTGCGGTAGTTAAAACACTTAACGTCTATAAAAAAAAATAAAGACAAAATCGCGTTAAGCTAATGCATTAAGCACTTTTTTATTTAAAACAAGGCCTGATATCATATGCACAGCAGATCATATTAAGTTAATATACTAATTTTCTGATCAAATAAATATCACCTGAGGTTATTTGTCTATCTGGTCGGACAAATACTCGTCCGACGGAACGTTATTTGAATGGAACTAGAGAAGAATCTTTTTCTCAATCTTTTGAAATCAAATTTAAAAAAAATTTAACCACTTAAACGCTGTTAAGAAATGATTTGACAGCAATCTCAAATCTTTAGTCCTTTAAAGTTGTAAAAAATGTCAAACCAATAATCTATAAAAAAATTAGTAAAAATATAAAGAAATATATACTTGTCTGACATGAAACCAAGAATTATAGTTCCTATTCCTCCACCAATTTGCAAGGCACTGTTAGCCATATACGTCAAACTGACCTTGTCGCAAACTAAATCCCACTAAAAATTAATTTTATACACAGAAATGAATTTTATTACTTTAAATAGAGCTTGTATATTTATATATTTGTTTTACCATATCAAACCAAGTTTGTATTGTTGGATAAAGTATTGTACTTAATTAAAAGTTTATTAAAGTTCTTTAATATATTAATACTTATTACAAGAATATTCTAGGAATATACAAAATTATAATATTTTAATAATAATTAAAAATGTGTTTGATATATTAAACAAATTTGGTTTAGTAAAATAACAAAATTTTAAATAAAACAAACCTTTTACATTATAGATTGTAATTGAAAAGGCAAATAGTAGGACAAACTGGGGTTAGCTAAAAAGTTCTTTTTGTTTGTAAACTTGTTGACAAAATGCTAATACTTTTTGAAATTTTTTTATTGCCACAATACTGCTTACTCTCGGGTCCCTAATACAAGAGGGGGGAGGGAATAATAAGAGGGGGAGGGGGAATTTTTGTCCAGATCTAATAAACGCAGGATGGAGGGGGGGGGGGGAAGGTTTAATAAAAAGAGGGAGAGAGGATTTTTTTATGGTGCAATATAAGTTCTTTTTATGAAAAAGTTTAGCTTATAAATCTGAACTTATATTTTTTAAAAAACACGTTTAAAACTATTTAATTATTGTATGGCTTGCGGTCAAATGCGCATTTTCGATCAGCTGTTTTATCATAATTTCAATAGGATTTAATATGCTGATATAAACTTTACACATCGGTTAGAAATAAACCAAAAGCTCATTTTTGACAAACCGAGATTTACTATTCAGCCTAGTTAAGAAGAGATCCAAAAAAAAAAAATATCGCGATCAGGCCCTCTCGTTTTCAAAAAATTCCGTTTTATTTTGTGTGCGTTTTTATTGGTTTATTTTTTAAAAAAATTCGCGAAGCTCGTTGTTTTATATTGTTTACACATATTCGCTGATTTTACTATCTGCAAGTTTGAAGTTTTAGCTCAATACTGTGGGGCAGAAATTATATAAAAGCTGAAACGTTCCTGTTTAGTAACTTATTCAAACCACTATAAAGAGATTATGGAAGTAAATTGCTATGAATGAAAATTAATGTGAAAACTTCGGTTTTAGCATTTTTACTGTTTACAGAAAGATAAAACAAGTGGATTTTAGTCATTTATTGAATATTTTAATGCTGTAAACTAGTAGCCTTTTTACTTTAAAATAAAAGAGACATTTTTGCAATGCAAATTCTTCACAAATTTGTTTCAGCTATTTTTATGACGCTGCCCCGTCGCTTTTTAGTTGTAGTTTTGTTTTGCTTGATGCTTTGGTTAAAAAAAGATTTATAAAAAAATAATAAATTGTATAAGAAAAGTTTAAATCAACTTTTTAAAAATATATAACAGTAATAGTCAAAAATAAGTGGAAAACACAAAAAATTGAAGTTTAAAAATATAATTTTTTGTTGTTAAGAAATGCAAATCGTTCGGATCTTTCCCTAACTACGCTGAGTAGGTCGGCGATTTTTAAAGCTGTTTACACTGAAAGTTTTTGTTTTTTTCAGTGGCTGAAAGAACTGTTTTCTAACTTTGTGGCTAATTTTCATTGAATTTTCTTATTTTTAGTTTTGAGATGTAAAGTTTTTTTTGTCAACAAGTAAAAATTAATTAACGGGGGGTTTTAATAAGCTTGGGGTGGGTGGGAATAAGCTTGGGATGGGGGACGTTTATTAATTTTTTCAAAAAATTAGTAAACGTTCCCAACCCCTTTAATAGAGGACTCGAGAGTAATAAAGCACACAAAATTTATTAATAATGATTAAATTTAGTAATGTAGATTTTATTATATTTTCGTTTTGAGAGCTGCAAGTATATACATTCTGCTTCTCGCTCGCTAATATAGTCTAATGCAGACTTTTTACAATTTTTTAGGTTTTTTTGTCGCTTTTTTTATTAATAACCTTATCTTCTTTTCTTTTGTTACTTTATTTCTGGCAATACTGTCTTTCCCCGGTGTATCTGTTAAAATGTGAGTCGTTTCTTTTTTTGGGCTATTTTTTTTTTGAAACTCGTGGAGTCGAATCGTCCAATATTGGCCACAGTCTTTCAAATTCTACAAAAATTTTTGTATGATTGTTGCTACACATGCTGGTGTAGCAAAAACCCCACAAGAAGTTAAAAAGCATTGATTCTTTAAAGTTTGTTAATATGATAGTCAATTTAAATCAAAAAAAAAAATCTATTGCTAACACGTTCTTAAAAATTGCTAATCTCAAAATTGTAACATTTTGCTGGAAGGTTCTTAATGAAAAAGTTTTTCCAGAGGAGATCTCTTCTACAATGAGCTATTGAAACTGATTCTTATGTGTTTATATCCTCAAAGGGTTTTTCAAAGTCAACTTCCAGGATGCGTGTCTCATGCACGTTATATGTCCGAGGCTATCTATTATCTAAAGATTTGATTATTGAGTTTGCAGATTTCTTACGAATTGACAATTAATCTAAAAAAAAAAACGTGAAAACAAAGGCCGAATTTATCTCAATATCTTAATTCGTCCGGTTTTTAAAAACTACTTGCTATTCATTAAAAGAGAGAAAACCTTCAAGAAGCCATGCCTAATTAAGATTTGCAATTAACCTTTGAAGCAATTGCAAAGTAAATAATATAATTTTTTAATGATCCCGTTTGTTTGATGACAAAATATTGAATTTAAAAATAGTTTTTTAATATAAAATAGTATGAATAAAAGTATAAAATTATAATAAAATTTAGTAATAGGGGAGAAGGAGGCAGTTTAGAACAGGGTTAGTTTTGGGCAATGCAAAATATTCAAAAAATGCACTTATCAACCATGTTAAATAAATAAGTCGATTGGAAATATTTTCACACAAAAACATCGCATGATTTTTTTTGCATAGGCGGTTGAAGCTAATCTACAAACATTTTAAGATTTTTGATAGTTTTTTTAACTTCTTTGGTTTTAAAGCGTCAGGATTTTTAATCAAACTTACACTTCGAATTTTTTAATTACATTTTCAGTGAAAGTGAAAAATATGTTTTGCAATGTAAATAAAAAATTGAATGATAAAACTTAAATTCTTCACAAATATTTTGTGGAGTGTTTCCTGAGATCAGGGTTGAGACAGCATCGAACAAATTTTATGGGGCACGTTAGAACAAGTTGCGCGTCTAATAACAAACTTATCTTAAAATATAATTAGACGAAGTTTAAAAATGGTGCGCAGTTATAAAAAGAAAAGTAAAAGATTTATAAACGAAGAAAATTTTAAAATTGCGGTAAAAAGTGTTTATGATAAAACAATAAAAGTAAGAATAGCTGCAGGTGTATTTGGGTTATTTAAAAGTACGTTTGCCTACACAATATGAATGCTCAGAAATAATAAATTATTAAAAACGATGACTTTTCTACCAAATATTCTGTAAATCAAATATTTACTAATGCAGAGGAAGCTATGTTAGAAAAATATATGTTGAAATCATCAAAAATAAACTATGGGTCAACTTAGATAATATCACAGCAGGGTTAAAAAATTGTGGCCTTAATCACATCTCTTTTCAATCTAGTAATAATGATATTAAATAATATTAAATAAAGTTGCGTAGATTTTAAAACTTTAAACATTAGTGATCATTCTGTAGTAAATACTTCTTTTGAAGCTGCTATGCTTAACAGTAAGTCACTTAATTTATATAAAAACAAAACGGATGAGCTGTTACAAATTTTTTTTGAAAATTTTTAGTCCTCTGTACCAGTTGTATCTCTTGAGATGATTAGACAATACCCAAAAGCACCTCAAAGAAGGAATAAAATCAAAAGGCAAAAAAAAAAGAAAGGAATTTTAACAGATACACCAGAAAGGCCACCAAAAACAGAATCTTTAACTTATAGAAAACGCCGTGAGTAGCCTACCAAAAGTCAGTAGCGGAAAAATTAAAATTATTCTACCGAAAGTCTTTTTTTATGGGTTGAGAATATCACGTGTCAAAATAACTTTTATTTTGTTATACCATAAAATGAAGTAAACTTAACTTATGATTTTTAAAAAAACAAAAACGAAAAAAAAGGTAAAAATTAAGTAGAGTTTACCATTAAACAAATAGACTGCCAGCCCATACCATAACCCTCAGTCAATGTATGTACACTTTCCACAGCGCTTATTCCTAAATAAGTATATTCCTAAAAAAGTAGGTCAGGTCAGGTTTTCCTGCTACTGGTAACATGTAACCCAGTACAACCTGCTCCATGTCCTGCTGCCTTGTAGGATACGCTTTTTTAGGCAAAGGCTAGGAGAAGTTAACTCCGAATTAAAACACCCCCTGCCTTGGGGCTCTTGGTTGAGTAAAGGCTAGAGATGGTGTCTCGATAAAAATACTCATCTTGGGCAGATGTTACATGCATCCAGCTGCTGTCTTGTAGAAGGCCTCCTAGGCAAAGACTTAAGGGGTAAACAGATTCTATCTGTTGACCAGCCTCGCACCCCTTCCTCATCTATTAGGCTGGCGCAGATGTATTTTTAATACATTGTTTCCAGTTTAGGATGTTGAACGCTGGATCTTCTTGACTCAATGCGTGGGTATTGCTTGTGTCTCTATTTTTATGACTGGGCAACTCATTCTATTATCTCCTAATGAGGGTACAGCTCTAAAACTCAGTTTTATGGTTCTGAGGCCGGCTGGTAGTCAGGTTTCCCGAACTCTGTGGTAGCTCTCAGAGAGGCTGATTCCATCAACAGCCGAAAAATATCAGAGTACTAACAGTGCCATGTTGCGCATGGATGGTGTCCCTGTTTGTACTTTTGGTGTGCATTGCAGAGGCCACATTTGGAGCCCTTTGTTACGGCTTAGGGTTTATTAATAGTAATGAGGCTATTGCTTAGTTGTTAAATAGTGTACTGAGTACTATCTATACTTGAGTCAAGTTCTTTATAAATTTAAAATGACTAAAGTACCTAAAACTAAAAAACACAAAAAACCATCGTCATCACCAAGTTCTCTAAACCTATCAT